TCAGCAGGGAATGCTTGACAGTGATTGACTATCAAGCTAAAGTCTTTAAATACCAGCACTGTGAAATACTCAAATAATGATTCATAGCTCTCAATCTCTCCATTCAAGCTCCCTGCACTGGCTTCTCCCAGCAGCTCTCTGATAATCGACTAAAATAGGAATTCCAAAAGCAGTTAAAAGAGTTACCTCCTGATCAATGTTATGAAGCATAGCTGGATTGTTGTACTTTTCAGGATTATCATGGAAACAGACCATGCCATCTTTCTGATTAATACTTGCAAAGATTTCACCATCTTCTATCTGAAATGCAAGAGGGTTTCATATAAGGTATCACTAAGAACAGAACTTCAGGAAACTACAACAAGGACTCTACCTGGCATCATCTTTAACTTGTTTGCTTTTTATTTCCTGACAGCTTCCCAAAGGCAAATGATCATGCCTTTTTCTGGCATGAAAGGCAGAAAGGCAGAGAAAATCATTTAGGATTTTTTGAGGACAGCCAAAACACCACAGCAGACTGACAGTATCACCTTCACCCTGAAAAAAACCCCACTCCTCAGCCACTCAAAACACGCACAGCCAATCCAAACATTTGTGCCTTAAATTTTTTAATTTATTTTTTTTAATTAGGGTAGTTTAGCTGGGTCACAAGTCTTACCATGTGGAGGACGTATTTTTCTGCTTCCTGGGGCCCTGACAACTGCACTCGACTTGCCATGTCTTGTAAGGACAATGTTAAAAATGTCTGAAATTTAGAAAGGATGAAACAGTCAAAAACAGATGCCCAAAAGTTTCCCCATCAACCCTTTGTGGCCTTGCAAGCTTAATTTTGATGTCCAATGAGAAGAAACAAGTGGAACACCTGGTTCTTGCTTATAAAGCAGCATGAGAGTGGAGTCAGTTCTTCCCCCAAATACATCATTTTGTTACACTGTTCACATACATGGACCAAGCTGATGGAGTCATTGCTCTGTTCTGCAATTCCTTTTCACCTCAGACACAGCCTTGACCATGTCTAACCTCTTTCTCTGACCTTCCTACAGAAAGAAGGTCACCCTCCATCCCTTGAATTTGCTTCAACACAGGTCACCCTCCATCCCTTGAATTTGCTTCAAGAAATGTATGTATTGCACTCCTTCTGAAGTGAGCTCTACTGCAACAAACATCATTTAAGCCTGCCAAAAAAGAGCTTTCCCTGATCATCTTTAGGGATTAATCTGATCTCTCAGCTGAAAAAGCATATCAGTCCACTGCTGCTACTTTTCCTCTTACTTCAGACACTTCCAAAACCTGTCTTATTCAGTCTTCTCTAAAGAAGTAGTCTGTAAAATTCAGGTTTCCTGTTTTTCAAACAGGGGTGAAGGTCACTGAGCAGCAGTGTATTATGTATGAAAATCTCACGGGTAAATCCCTCTAATAAAGATATTGAGCCACCTTTCAAATAATGCATAAGTAGCCAATTGAATTGGTTTTCTATACAGAGCATTTTAGTCTCATTTGTTTCAGAGACACAAACCTAAGCTGCAGTCATTTCTCCATGACATCACTACATCACCATTTTGCTCTGAATTGAACACATTTCTGAGACACACTCTGAGGAAAACTAAACACAATTTCTCAGCAAAACAAACCCCCTGCATCTTACCTTGGTTAGCCTCTGAATATTCTTTTTGTAGAGAGATGACAGGCATTGCTTAACCAGCCCCATGTTGTTATCCCTTGTGAATGTTTCACTGTGTTTGTTCACCAGATTTCGAAGCTCCGAGGGTTTATTGGTTGAGTAAACTTGGGCTAATTCATGGTAAGCATTGCTAAGGGGCTGCAATTAAAGAAATGAGAATCACCCTTCCTAAACAACACTGTGTAACCAGTCTCACTCAATCCATTCACTACTTCAACATTAGAAGCTAGGCAGGCATAAAAGTAAATTTAAGTAGCTCAAACATTTCTCATAAAAATGATGTGATGCCCACACGTGGCCTTGTGGCAATGAGAGATCCTCACACACTAAACCTGTAGGACTGCAATGTAAGACTTAGTAAAATCATTCAAGGATCTCTGTGTGACAGTTCCAGTTATGGCAGAGCAAGAAAAAGTCCCTCAGTTGGCCAGCATGTGAAGGAAGCTGAACTCAAGGCCAGCAGTGTATTCATTAGTCACTGCCCATCCATTCTGTTTCTTCTATCCTCTAAGACACTGCCATCCTTGGCCCCAGTGCATCACAGCATGGACAGCAGAGAGTGGGAAGGTGAAGACCAGCTCATCTAAACTACTTTAAAATGCCAATTTTTTGAGCTTGCTGATTAGTATCTGAAATTAGAAGAATTTTATTTTTTTTTTCATTCTTTAAAATTCTGGTCACAAACCAACAAACTCAGTGTTAAATAGGAACTAGCTTTTAGAAGAGTGTTATTTACCTAGGATCTGAACTCTCTGGCTAGCAGTTGTGTCTTCCACCCTACACGTCCTCATCAGAATGCTTATGAACTCCAAACTTGCAGCATTTTTAGAAGCTTTTCCTCTTTATAAAGCTGGAGTTTTGGAATCAACTATTTAGCATTTCATACCTCAACTAGATGGAATTATGGGTGGAATGGTTTTACAAGGACACTGCATATTGAAAACCAAGTGAAATCTGGGTCTCGTTTCAGTTCTAACATTAAATTCTGCCAACAAGGCATGTGCAGGATCAGTGAAAACAATATTGGTCAGAACTAAGTTTTTCCAAACTCAGGTTTAAAAACCTGTATGGCCCATATATAATAGACACAGAAGTTGCCAGACAATCTTTAGGTATTATAAGGAAAGCAGCAGGCATATTGTACTCAGACACACTGGGCATTGCTTCCCAGGATCTGCAACATTCCAACCAGATCAACAAGTGAGGGTAAAAAAAACCCCATCATTTACAAATTCAGCTTTGTTGTTCTAATTATTTAAGTTGTGTTCACGAGACTTACCTTTATGAATCTACCAACTATCTGGGAAGTGTATTTTGGTAGCTGCTGAACTTTGCCAAGTAGTATCAAAGAAACTAGAATATACTTTTTATATGATTCCAACATAATATGACTGACTGCCATGGCTGGAGTAGTTATTGCCTGAGCAAGAAAGAAAAAAATGGAATAGAAATTTAGTACTTTCTGGTAGATCCTGGTAGCTACTGCAATAACAAAATTCTCATTTTAAAGCTACATGCAGAAAGGACACAATTACACATGAAATTCACCTTTGAACACTAAAGCTTAGCTAACTTCTGTCCAAATTAACTATGAAAAAATGTCCTAGAGAAAGTAAATTCTACACAAACTACTAAAACAACATCATGTTACAGTGATGCCTACCTTAAAATAACCCTGTTAAGATAAGATTAAAACTTCTTTCTTGGTATATATCTAAAGTTGTACCAGAAAACACCTCTAGCTACTTGTTACCAGGAATGATTACACAGTTCCTGTAGAACCTGGATTTACACAGATCCTTAAAGAGATTTTATAAAGCTTCATCATCAGATCCCATATTTAATTATGCTCTAAAGAAGTCTGCAGAACAGGGAAAAGGAATGTTAGATTACTATGACACTGCCAGCTACTCCAGAGCTCACCTTTGTTCCCAGAAAATAAAAATGCTGCACTAGTTTATTCTGCACATTTGACAGCATTTCCCCCCATACACAGGTAAAGTTTTCTCAATTTTGCCATTTTCTCTTATTTCAAAGAAAGTAAAAGCAGCAGATATTGTAAGAGCCTTGAAGAAGTGTAACCCCCTTCATAAAAATCAGCAAAGGTCTTAGCAAAAGCACTGAACTATTTTTTCTTTAATACATAGTCCTGAATTTCAGCCTGTGAACTGTTTCTATGGGAGCAGTAACAAGCAGGCATCTGAAAAATATTTATAGTGAGATAAATTTAACATCAACCTTTGAGTTGCATAGTTTTATGGTGCAACAGTCACAGACCTTAAAGGAAAACACCTCTACAGACAGTGCATTTGTTACTTCACTTTATACACCAACTGGGTCCAGTTCTGAAGCCAATACAAAAAGGACATGGAGCTCCTGGAGCGGGACCAGAGGAGGCCATGAAGATGCTCAGAAGCTGGAGCAGCTCTGCTCTGGAGATAGACTAAGAGAGTTGGGGCTCTTCAGGGGGGGCTACAGGAAAGCTGGGGAGGAGCTTTTCACATGGCCATGGAGAGATGGGAAAAGGGGAAATGGATTAAAATTGTAAAAGGGGAGATTTAGGTGAAACATTAGGAGGAAATTCTTTAGTGTGAGGGTGGTGAGACACTGGCCCCATCCCTGGCAGTGTTGAAGGGCAGGTTGGATGGGGCTTGGAGCAACCTGGGCTGGTGGGAGGTGTCTCTGCCCATGCAGGGGGTTTGGAACTAGATGATCTTTAAGGTCTCTTCCAACCCAAATAATTCTATGATTCAGGCTGTACCTTTCATAAAGGAGCTCACAGTGAACCCAAATCAGGTTTTATCTATTCCTATAATGAACACATGTGCTAAACCCAAATCTGCACAAATGATGAACAGCAGGGTGGCTCTGCCAGTAGAATTATATCCTTAACCTTAAGGATGAAAATAATTGGAGGCTGCTCGGACTTCATGTTAGTTTCACAGCTTTTATTTCTATTTGTGGTAATTCAAAGCTGATATATTCTCCCACCACTGTTGTTACTTCTCCCTTTCAATTGCTCACACTTTAGACTTACCATTTTATTTAAAGTTACCTGTTCATAAAAGTAGAGTGCTCTCTCAAAGTTCTTTAGCCCAGTGTATATCATCCCACCATAGTAGTAGTAACATAAAAAGTGCTTCGCATCATATGCCCCATTCTCTTTACAAATATCCATCATGTCCACATCTAGATACGGGAGGGCAGGTTTAAAGCATTTTGCTAACAAACAGAGCTACAAGAAAATAAACCAAGTGTTCATAAATTAGCCATTTTCGTTCCAATTTTCCAGGAGGAAGAAGTTGAAACTAAGTTCATCTAGTAGTATTTAACACATCTCACTCCTCCAAGAGTGAAAAAGCAGTGCATGTCAGTAGGGCTGTCACACATTGTTCATTGTATCATGGTATTTGGAAAAGCTTTACCACCGATCGCAAACTGCAATAAATTATCTGAACCCTCAAGAAATTAAGACTCGGACAAAGCTGCTTGAAACTCCAGACCTTCCAGACTACTGTGCTGGCAGTGCTCAATACTGCACTAAACATTCCTGTCCAACTCTAAATCCCAGGAGCCAAGAATGAGACAGAAGTGCAAATCCAGGCCAAAGACATGGAGACAAACATGCCTTTTGTCAAACTGGAGCAAATGGAATCTGGAGATTACACTTCCCCTGCTCAAGAGAAGCTGTGTGTGACTTTCAGCCCAGACAGAAGGGATGTCAAAGGACTTTCAGAAATCATCAACAAAACTAAAGACCTGGGGACATGCACTGAACATTTAAAATTAAGAGAAGAGGATTTACTTTCAGTATAACGTATTATTACTTGAAAAAAAACCCAGTTAAAAACTATTTTTACATTGCAATGTGTGAACCTGCATTTCCTCAAAGGGTTAGAGGTTTTCTATAAGCTTTTTCTCTCATAAAAAGCCCTTCTGCTCCTCTTACCTGGCAGAGATCTGCGTGTATTGAGGTCAGCTGGTTTGTGTTCATCTGCATCTTGTCTATGGCTTGTCTGAGAATGCTAATTCCTCGCAGGGGCTGTCAGAAATGACATCTCTTTCAGACAATTTCTCATAGATGGCAGCACATTGGATCTTATGTTGACACTTACAAATGAAAAATAACACTAATTGACAGGTTCCATTAAGTAATCGTTAACTTGAGGTTGCCTTTTTGTAGGATACTGCAATCTCTCAGAAATACAATCAGCCTTGGCTATAAAACTTGTCTTCATAAATACACTAAATGAAGCCATCAGTCACAGCCAGCCTTGTTAGGGCTATACAAATTTGAATGGACAAGAAAACCTGTCTTGGCTTCACAACACCATCTAAACTCTCACCAAACAAGCAAGGCAAGGCTCTCACTTCACTCCACTTGGACGAGACTTGATCTCTGCTTCTATTTCAGGCTAGATTGCACTAAAATGGCCTGAAAAAGTCAGTAGCTTAGCAACAAAAAGGTTGGTCAAGTATTTCTTAATCAAGTTTTCTTTCCATTTTAAGGCATTTCATCAGGAACATTACATAACACTGGTGAGAATAACACTGAAACCAGTATCCCTGCCTCACCAGCACTAGTAATTATTGCAGCTCTCTCCTACTCATGCACACGTAGTCTGAAGAAGACTCTTGGTGCTACAGATTTCCTAGTTTGTGTGAGAGAGCAGGTTTTCAGGTGTCTCTCCCACCCAAATTAATCTTCCTTAAAGAAATCTTTAAATCTTGGTTTAGGTTCATTACCTCTCAGTAAACTTAACAAGTAAGGAGCTGCACAGGAATACTTCACATGAAGTTAGTGGCAGATCTTTGTGAAGTAAGGGACTGGAAATGCCCCCTGGAAGAGCATGGATATGTAGGAATATTATCTGTACTAGATAATACTTGCTTACCTGTTTTCTCTCCACAAGGGCATTTGTTAACTGGTGGCACAGGCCAGCAACTAAATAAAATAACAAACAAAAGAACACAGCACAGTGAAAAATCAGTAATATCAAACTATCCAAAAAAAGACACAAATTCTGAAAATAAGCTTAACTCACAAGTGTCTGTTGCATATCTAATGTGTTCCCCATTACATGTGCTGATGAAAAGCTGCACCTGGGAGAATAACGTTTCGAAGTCAGGGATGCTGGGCATGGAAAACTTCACAAACCTAAAACAAACATAACAAGAGGTTTAGCACTTCACCTTTGGAGTTGAATAAAAAACTTTATCACTAGGTCTCTGCAGACTCATGGGGATGCTTGCAACCAAACTCAAAGTGCTCATGACAAAGGGTGCACAGCTTCCCCAGGAGTTGCACATTTGAAAACAGGCTTTCTGTACATGTCCCAATTCTCAGTCTAGTTTCAACTACAATTTAGAGCAAACTATGGCAAACAAAGATAAAAGTATCTGGTACAATAGTTACAATCATAACAGGAGTGCTGAATAACAATGCTGAATTGTAACAGTCTGCCACACTTCTCTGGACACTTTTGCCTGTGCTGCAGCCACCTCCTGGTTGAATGTGCTACAGATCTCTCAACTATTAATTAGCCTTGTCTAATCTGTCACTTGACAGGAGACAGCCCACCTAGGTGATAAACTGGCCTTCCCCTCAAAGCTTCTCACTGTCCAGGTTCTGTGCTGCCAGCCCTTCCCAGTCTCTTCAGAGAATCTTACTCTACCAGTGCAGGAGCTCACTGTGCCACAAGTTCAGCCAGGAGAACTTCCCTATATGCTCCACTGATAACATCTCTTTGAAGGATGGATTTTTATGTATTTTTCTTATAAACAGTTTTCTTCCTTCCCGTTTTCATGTACCCCATGCCAGGGTTCTGCTAGCACAGGACCAATGCCCCGCTTCTTGTCAATTCCATCCTGCATTTGGGTGAGATGCAAGTGATTTGTAATATGAAGTGCACAAACTCCATATATTAGTCATTTATTTTTTTTTCCAAAAGAGTAGTAGAACAAGTACTAAAATCCTAATTTTTCCTTTTAAAAAGAACTTTAAAATTCTAAAGGAACCTGTGGAGGCTTCACTTGCAGTTAGGTACTGCTGGAAACATGAGGCTGAGCTTCAGGGACAGATATCCTCACCTTAGCACCACCCAGGCAATTCACAGAATCACAGAATCTGCTGAGCTGGAAGGGACTCATCAGGATCATCGAGTTCAATTCAGCATTATCTTAAACTCCAGACAGCAGCAAAAGCCTCAGTACCCAAGAACTATGACAAGAACCCAGCACATTGCCTCAAGTTTGAATACCAAGATCTTTGATTAAAAGAAAGCAACACTTACAAGACAGCAAGAACCCCTAATGAGTGTTCCTGTACATCAAGGGCACCAAGCACTGTATCCAGATGGGAAAGATTTTTTGCTAGCAGCTCTCCACTTTTATTGATCAGTTCACAAAGCTGGGTCATTTGCCCTGAAACACAGAACATGTCATTGTCAAACTTTAATTAGAGAACACTCATGAGTTCCCACACTTCATTACACCTCCTGCCCTATCAAACCTGAGGGAAAAGTCTCACCCAGAACATTTACTTTTCTGTAATTTGAAAAGCATTAGTTTTCAACAAGCAAGGTACCCACCATGCATTTTTAATAAAAAGTGACAGAGGAATTTGTGGCCTTTGGGACTGCAGAGGGAAACCCTCAGAACACAAACACCACATGAAAAGCAGCATCAGCTCACTTATTACAGAGCTTCAGGGTCTCCTATCAACACCCAGCATCACCCCAGGTCTCCACAATTCTGACCAGTGTGTGACACAAAATTCTGCCTCATGAGGATAAGGTCTCTTCACACTTGTGGCTTCTAGGTGTTAGGAGGGGGAAAAGAAATTTTATTCCCTTTCTAAAAACAAAACCAACTCTCCAGTAGCAGAGCCTGTTCTGTGCTGCTTCTCAACTGCCCTATCTATTTTTCAGCTCTGCTCATAAGCATTTTTTGAAGTAGATATTAAAATTACAATCTAGTATCAACAAATAATAAGATTTAAAAATCCATTCTTAAATTGACTTTGTGTAGTTATTCTACTTGTTGTGAGCTATGAACACAGCACAAAAGGCAACTACTATGAATTAAGAAGGTACAGGAAGACCAAAAAACCTTACAAAGAAAATTCATTACCATGAACTGCTTTCAAAGCCTTCCCTCTGCAACTGCTTTAACTAAAACTATGCCCTTCTGAAGCAGAGTATTGTTTCAGTGCTCAATCCTTGCAGATTAAAGAGGAAACAACAGAGGTTCTCTCACCCTTAACAAAACTCTTCATAAAAGGAGGAATAGTGGCTCCATTCAGAGATCTATTCTCAACTCCCTGGCCTTTTCCTAGTCAAGAAACCCACCCATTCTCCAACTACCATCCCCTAAAAAACAATGCAACCCCCCCCCAACCAACCCTCTACCCACAAACACCCACTGAACGACTTACAAAGCAGAAACACCCACACCAGACCCAACTAAACGTCCACTTATGTCACCTCCCATGTGGACAAATGCTGATAAATAGAAATTAAAAGCACCATAACATGTTCTCATACCCTCCAGCAGCCTGCCTGGTGTCTGGGTTTTCTCACAGAGGTTTATCTGGCTCTTCCCTAGTGGGAGAACTTTCAAAAAGTCAAGCAGGTTCCCCTTCAACCTTTTGCATCCACAAAACCTTGCAATGAAGAAGTTCTCCAGCTAAACCAGATGTATACAAAGAATCACCTTTCATCTGGTTGGTACCTGCACCTTCAGGATATAATTTGTCTCTCATATCTCCCATAAAAATACTCTGTATTTATTAAGTTAAATTAAAGTAAGAAAAAGTTGGAGCTCCATCCTAAAGCAACTGCCAGAGATAACGCCAGGAGCCACTGAGAAAACCCTCGTGTTTTGATCAGTTCCCATGCAGAGGAACACTCAGAACACATTTCAGGGATCACCAACACAGACAGAAAGTTGAAAAACTAGGCAACGCTGCAGCCACACACAGGAAAGCCGAGACTTTGGCAATTAAAGTGAGGAATTCTAACTATGGTTATTAAAACACTTTCTGAACTCTTGGGTAAGACAGACGTACAGTCTCAGGCCTCCAAACACGCAGTGCCATGGCAAGGCAGGGCTCTGGCCACGCTTTACTTTATCCCCAGGAGCTACCACTTCTGAGATGCATTTCAAAACACACGTGCCCCAGCTCGCACGCTCATCAGCTGCGAGACAGGCTGGGCTCTGTAAGCCCGGTGAAGGTGTTATGTCCTCTCCTGCCCCCCGTGTTCCAAAGCTCAGATTTCGGCACAACCCCTCGATGCCGGCTTCACTCCTCTCCT